AATTTCTATAGGAACTATAGAAATTGCTCTTAATATAACAATTTATAGCACTATATTTTATATAACTCTTTTACTACTTATAATATTTAAATTTATTTTAATATCCTAATATCTCAAATACCTTTAAATTATCAAAACCTATTAATTCTCTATAGCTCTTTTCTTTCCTTAATCTTTTTAACTTATTAAACCTCTATTATACCTTTTATTACTTAAAAGTGTTTTAGCTCTTTTATCTTTGAAAAGTCTATTAAAGATTAAAGATCTGCATACTTGTTGTAAAAGGTTGATTTAACCTTCTAAAAATACTGCATTCCAATATAGTATAATATCATATTTTTAGTTTGTTAAGTCTGTTTATAGTACAAACATGTATAATTATTAGATTAGTATTAATTATTTCCTAAATTTAGTATAATTAATATATTGAAATATTGAATTTATCTAATTTATTAAATTAAATCAATATTAGACAAATAGTAATTAAAATTACTATTTGAAGAAAATTTAATTTAATTGATATTTTAACAATATCAATTAAGTTCCAAATATATTTACTATAATCTTATAAGATATATAAGTATTGCATTTTTCTTTCAATAAAAAAAGACAGCTTATAAAGAGTTTAATAAAACTATTTCAAATTTACAACAATTCAAAAAATCCGAAAATAATTCCTAAATATCATATTCACTATTCTAATTATCTTTCCTCTCTTCTAATAATCAAATCTCAATCAATTTAAATAATAATCATCATTCCTTAGTTAGTCTTATAGATTCCTATAGTTTAAATCAATAACTAATCACAAGAAAAACCAGATTACATGTCTCATAATTCTTCTTAATAGTATAAAAACCCAAAAGACTAAAATTGAAATTTCTAAAATAAAAGCTCAAAGACCCCAATAATACTCATCTACAAAAATTTATTTTGCAATTCTAAAACTTAAACTAAATTCTCTATAGCTTCTTTTAGCCTGCTAACTTAAGGTTGATTATTAGATTTGTAGTAATAGTTTCTTGTTTGTTAAACTATAAACCAAAATATAATCAGAACTTTAATTGAATTGCATATCAGAACTAGTTTATACCTTTTTAATTAATAGTAACTATAAGATTGAACTAACTCTACTTGAAATCTGAATAATCACCAAAGCTAAACCTAGAGATGAAAAAAAAATTAAAAAATTTATCTAAGAATCTTGAACAGTTAGATAAAAAATTAAAGAAAAGCCTTATCATTACTACTCAAATACTCTGTAGTATCTAACTATTATATAGAACCTCCTACTATAAATATAAAAGAGTTAGAAAGAATAAAAATAAATACTAAAGAAATTATACTACTCTATAACTTTATAGATTTACTCAAGCCTGAAAGGAGAACTCCTATTGAAATTCTTTTCATACTAATAGCTTTAAGATCTATAATATAGAAGAAAATATTAGTATAAATTATAAAGGAAACAAGTTAATAAAAAGATTTTACTATAACAAAAATATTGGGCCTTAATACTAGAAAATGAATTTGATCTAAAAAAAGAGATATAGAAGTTAAATATATGATTTGTAGCTTTAACTAGTCAATTAGAAGTATAAGAAAAAAAATTAACTCAAATCTGCTAAACAAATCCTGTAGACCAAATTATAGTATCCTCTAGTCTAATTGTAAGAGAAATATAATTTGACCTAATAAAAAAAGATAAATTAGTATAAAAAAATTACTAAAATATCAAAGTGAAGTAGAACAAATAATATACCTCCTGCTCCACATCTGAATGAATCTAACTGGCCAAGAGTACTATTCTAAAAACTTCTCAATTCAGATACCAAAGCTAGTTCAAGAAAGCTATAATAAGAATAAAGATTATTTACTAAAGATCTAGTAGGAAAAGCCTTCTATTACTGAAATTATTGAAGAGTCTAAAGTTATAGAAAAGAAAAAAAAAAAAGTATTAATATACTAGAAAAGAAAAGAAAATTTAAAGAAAATTTGAAAAATCAGAAAAAAGATATATTTCTAATAAAGAAAACTAGTTTTATTACAATCTACAATCTTGTAATTATTACTAATAATATTCTAGTTTTAGAAAAACCAAATACACAAGACCTAGGTCTAGTGATCTTAGTGTAGTAGTTAGATTGCCAGACTGCTATGCAAGAGGTCTGGGGTTTAAATCCCACTGTCGACGAATTTGAATAATTACTCAGGCCTTTGTACCCAACTTACGGTAAACTCTGTTCGTTTCTGGGGTTGTAACCCTGTAAATCACATTGCACGAATATCATTTGGATATTGGAAGTATGACGGAATGTTCAGAGAGTGTAATGTTACACGAATAAATCTTGATAGAATCTATGGGCAGGGGACTTGTATGGTAGAAATCCCGAGTTGGTGAAGTAGTATGGCTTTCGACAGTCATACCAGCTAACACTTGATCCAGAAAAGAAACTATCGTCAAAAGATGCTGATCGAGTCGAGTGTACATAAATCCGTTCCACAGGAAGGATCGGTAACACCAACCTGGCTTAGCGGCTAACTGGATTAGGAGGATCTGCCTCATGAAACATCTGAGAAGATAGACACAGAAAACTAGTGGAGAGCCACAATAGGAACTGGAGTTGTACAAATATCTGCAAGGTCTAAGCTAGGTGAATCTGTGAAATAGGCACAGACCACTCTAGTAGGATTGCTTACGAGGTTAACTGGAGCTCTGCGTACCACAATATGTTGAGTAATATGTATCCTAAGAGGATCTAAGCTGAGTTAGGTAAATGGATCTGCAACAAGCTAGCTGGCTTAAGCAGTTAGGTGTTACAGTAATGTTAGTTGGTTCCAGTATTGGTTAGATGAACAGAGTGTTTAAATAGGTAACTTACAAGTGGGTTACAGATATAGCAGCTTGTGTAGAACCAAATAGGTGATCTATCTATATGGCGGACTACTTAAATTAGACAATAACTAAAGTTGTACATATAGCAGATTATACACTCTTCATGTAATTACAAACTGTAGGGGATTGTCAACAGACGACCTCATATACTAAACTAATAAAATCTGCTCGGCAAAGTAAGCTGTCTTTAATTAAAAAAAAAAAAAAAAAAAAATACACAAGACCTCAATACAAAAAAGTCCTATGCCAGACTAATGTATCCAAAAATTTTAGTCAATCTAAAAAAGGAATAAAAGAACAAAAAGATAACTATAATAAGTTTTTATACAATACTTATCTTCTTATAGATAATCAAATAGTTGAATTATGAAGAAAACAATAGAATATTATACTTATTTCGATTAGGAGAATTATTAGAAAATTTCTCTAGTAAGATTGCTGAAATTAATCTATTAGAAAGATTAGTTAATATTAGAAATCAGCAAAGATAAATATTAATAATAAAGATATTTATCTAAAACAGAAAGCAAATAAAGATTCTGACAAGGCTCTAAACTATGAAGAAATGCTACTAAGAGATTAGAACTAAAAGAAGTCCAAAAAAAAAATGAAACCAAAAAAAAAAATTTTTTTAGTAATAATAATAGGCAAAAACCTACTTATCTATTAGCAAAGAATATATTTCAATACTTCAAATCTGAAGCGTAGAATTTAGTTCAGATTCTGATGTTCTAGTATTTTATAAACATGAATCTATCTTACAAAAATCTATAATAAAGATTCTCAAGATTCTTAGGCTATGAGGAAGAAAAATTTGAATGAAGTACCTGTAAGACACAAGATTAGTAAATATTGTATAAAGATAATAAAGAAGTTCAAGATAGAGAAAATATTGAGAAAGAAAAAAATTAAACAGAAAAAAGTAAAAGATACATCTATATTATACACTATTATATGGAAAGAAGTAAAAGATACGTCTTTATTATACACTAAATAAGTCTTTATGAAACTCTGGTTAGATATCAAAGTGTAGCTGCTGAATTAAAAGATGGAAAGAAGAAAAGAAACATATGTATTACTTACCTAAATAAGTTTTGAAAAAGCCTCAAGGTAATATCAAAGCGTATCATGATAAGTATTAACAAATATCTTAAAATCATATGCATAGAATGCATAAATTAATAAGGAGAGAATTGTAAAAGGTTGATTTAACCTCTAGAAATACTGCACTCCAATGTAATATGATGTCATATTTTTAGTTTGTTAAGCCTGTTTATAGTACAAACATATATAATTATTAAATTAATGTCAATCATTTCCTGGATTTAGTATAATTGATGTGTCAAAATATTGGATTTATCTAATTTATTAAATTAAATTAATATTAAACAAATAGTAATTAAAATTACTATTTGAAGAAAATCTGATTTAATTGATATTTCAACAATATAAATTAAGTCCCAAATATATTTACTATAATCTTATAAGGTATATAAGTACTGCATTTTTCCTTCAATAAAAAAGGGCAGCTCATGAAAAGTTTAATAAAATCATCTCAAGTTTGAGATAATTCGAAAAACCCAAAAATAACTTCCAAATACCATATTCACTATTCTAATTACCCTCTGATAATCAAATCCTGATCAATTTAAACAATAATCAATTGCCCCTTAGTTAGTCTTATAGATCCCCATTGTTTAAATCAATAACCAATCACAAGAAGGACCAGATCACATGCCCATAATCCTTCTCAATAGTATAAGAACCCAAAAGACTAAAATTGAAATTCCTGGAATAAAAGCCCAAAGACCCAGATGATGCTTACCTGAAGAAATCCACTCTGCAATCCTAAAACCCAGACCAAATCCTCCATGACCTCTTTCAGCCTGCCAACTTAGAGTTGATTGTTTGATTTGTAGTGATTGTTTCTTGTTTGTTGAACTACGAACCTAGGTGTAACCAGAACTTCTGGTTGAGTTCCGTACCAGAACCAGTTCACACCTTCTCACCATATGCAGATACTGCAGCACTCTGACCTCTGACCCTCACGTGTCTTCCGGAGTTATTTCCACGTTTCACACTAGTGATATGAGCTGACCTCAGCTCAACGGCTGGGTCGATAGTCGGGTCGACCCTCAACCCGCACCTTTGTGGGCCAGCTGGGTCGACGTAAAATCAAATTATTTTGCTAATAGATTTGCAATATAGATGATGGTTGGAAATGGTTAATAAATGAAGTTTGACAGTAGTCAAGTACAATTACTTCTTCAATTACTTCTTCCAAATGCAAAATAATACACATTTTTTTTCGAATCCGAGTTTTTCCGATCTCTTCTTTTTTTTTTTTTTTTTTTTTTTTTTTTTTTTTTTTTTTTTTTTTTTTTTTTTTTTTTTTTTTTTTGTCTTTTTTTTTTTTTTTTTTTTTTTTTTTTTTTTTTTTTTTTTTTTTTTTTTTTTTTTTTTTTGTGTGCTTCTCTTTTTTTTACTTCTTTTCGAATGAATTTTGAATTTCGGTTTTTTTTTTCTTTTTATTTTTTTTTCTTTTCGAATTTTGTTTTTTTTTTTTATTTCACTTCGAATTTTTATTTTTTTCTTTTTGAATTTGCTTTTTTTTAAATTTTGTTTTTTTTTTCTTTCGAATTTGCTTTTTTTTTTTTAAATTTTGTTTTTTTCTTTTCGAACTTTTTTTTTTTTTTTTTAAATTTTGTCTTTTTTTTTCGAACTTTTTTTTTAATTTCGTTTTTTTTTTTTTTTTTCTTTTCTAATTCACTTTTTTTTTTTAATTTCTCGCTCGTTTTAGAGATATAGGACCAATTTTGTCGCGAATCCTCAATTAGCAGGTATGTATGTCTATATGTAGACCGTATGTATGAATTTTATGCTAATCTAAAACTTTCTGCATCGCTGTACTAGAACATCTTCCAAATATAGGCGTAAAGTAGGTTTCAATTTTAGAATATGCCAAAACCATTGTTAAAACAAGGTTTGGCATATTTTTATATATAAAGAGAAAAGTATTAAAATTTTACCATTATATATCTTATTGTTGATTCCTATATTATAAAATGTTAATATTCTATATAATACGGCTCCAAGAGCCCACATCCATCACTAATATTATCATTAAATTGAACGTTTTTATGATGTATATGTTATGTGCCTTGATTGTTTGTGCGATTATAAATACGATTACAAAAGAAAAAAAAAAAAACTTTTGCATAAAAAATCGTACAAAAGAAAAAAAACCTTATAAAAGAAAAAAAAAAAAAAACTTATTCATAAAAATTCGTATAAAAAAAAAAAAAAACCTTTTTATAAAAAATCGTGTAATGGTTTACGAAGCCGATTTTCCCCAAACTCCTAAAGCATATCAAAATATTGTTGCCTACCTTCGTAACGGGATCATACCTACCACAATAAAACCTAAAAACTGATGGAACTTTAAATGTAAAATGAAACTGTGGCATCTAAAAAACGATCAACTTTATGTTCAAATTAAGGATCAATTGCTTCGGCGTTTCGTTCCTGCGTGGGACTTGGAGTTTCGTCAATCTTTATTTAACCAATTTCATGACAATGATCGCCATATTAATGCGAACGATTGTCACAAGAAAATTATGGTACAACATATTGGTATTATGAAAAAGGATGTTAGTGAATATGTTCGAAATTGCAACACTTGTAATCGAACTACCTCGATTAAAGAGAAGGACGACCTAACACCAGTTGTAAGTTATGGTCCAATGGAACACCTTCAAATGGACCTCATCGATTTTACTGCATATAAAGAAATGAACGACGGATTTTCCTGGCTCCTTACCGTGGTTTGCATCTTTTCAAAGTTTTTGTGGGCTATCCCACTTAGAACAAAAGAAGCCAATGTAATAGGTGAAGCTTTAATATCTTTATTTGCACAATGGGGAGCACCATCAATTCTACAATCTGATAACGGGAAGGAGTTCACTGCAAATGTTATAACTCATATTTGTGTAGCTCTTGGAATTACAATTCGTCATGGACGCCCGAGACATCCAATGTCACAAGGACAAATCGAACGTTTAAATCAGACAGTTGGGCGTGGGTTTACTAAAATGTTGTGGAATGAAGACCTGCGCCTACAAAATGTTAATTGGAAAGATCATTTACTAAAATTCGTTTTTTCTTATAACACCACACAGCACAGTGCACATGGAAAGACTCCCCGCGAAGTGATGTTTGGCTATAAACTCCTCGGCATATACCAGCAATTCAATCCAACCAATCCCGTTGACTTTCAGGAAATAGATGTGCAAGAAACACTACCATCACCACAATCTGTAATCAATCATCTAGAGAAGGTTTCAGTTCTTCACGATGAAGTTAACAAGCAACTTGACAAAACTAGGAAACAAATGCAAAAACGTTCGAGTGTTCACCACCGCAATAACCCTTATGAGTCTAGTCAGCTAGTAGCCATAGCCCCTGATACTGATATGAACCCAACAACCTGAAAAAGAAAAATCCAAACTAACTTCAAGGAGACCGCAACTGTGGTTGGTATGACAAACAATAACAAGACTATGATCGTCGAAACTTCTGATGGTAGTACTATGCGCTGTCCAGTAAAAAGGATCCGTCCTATTAAAAAAAAATAGTGAAAAAGGTAGTCTCACTATTTTTAAACTTGTCTTGTACGTATGTACGTGTCTATTATTCTATTAAAAAATTTTTTTTTTTAGCTGTCGCCTCCGTTAGCCAATCATTTCCGTGTTTCTAAATTTCTAAATTTTAAATTTTTTAAATTTTTTTTTTCTTTTCTGCTTAAAACACCATATCGCCTTCTTAAATTTAAAAATTTTTTTTTTTGTTTGCTTAATACCATACGTCTTCCTAAAGAATTTTTTACTTAAAAATTAGTTTTTTTAGCTTAGATTTTTAGCTTAGGTCTTTTAGCTTAGATTTTGATTTTTGAGGGTTAGGATTTTAGGGATAGAATTGTTAGGGTGCGAATTTGGGGATTGTACTAGTAGGGCTTTGTACATGGGCCCGCCTCATGTTAGTTTCCATAATACAAAATTTTTAAATAAAAAATCACGTGGTTGCCTTAACTTGGACAGTCCTCATGTTAATCCGCGACACTAATTGTTTGAATTTAAACTAATGATGCCTGACAAAACTATTTTGGCTGTGACAAAATAGTTTTGCCAATGGTTTTGTCTGATGAAACCTTGACAAGTAACAAAACTACTGATGTTTGATAAAACTACTGACAAAACTCTTTTTATTATAAAACATAAAAAATTACTTTATAAGAGTATTATTTTTTTATTTTTTTAAATTTTGGTGATCTGTTTTTTGAAGTGCTATAGGTAAATTTTCTGATGCACTATATTCACCTTCCATATTATTTAAATTTTCACTATCTTTGCCTACTTTATCTATACTACTTAAACTATTACTATTATCTTTTTCATTTTCATAATCTTATTCCTTAACTAAATCTGCTGCTAATTCTGTAGGATTAAAATCAAAAACTCCTTGCCTTACTGTATTACCTATCAGCAGTTTGTCATATTTAATTTTATCGAATTCTTCAGCATAATTAACATATGAATTATCACTATCTGATTTATTATCTCAAAAAATTTCATTATTTAAAAATACAATATTTTCAATATCAAAATATTCAATAATATTTAAATTATACTCAACTTTTTCTATTTCAGAATCTTTAATCATTTTATCATTATCTTCAGCCAAAAACATTACAGAAATTATTTTTTCTTGCAAATTATTAGATGTTAAAATTTTACTAAAGTAAGCTAGTTCTTTTTTTATATTTGAAATATAAAAGACTGAATTTGTGTTATAGCTTGAATTCAGAAAAGAGAGAGCTTTTGTTGTTATTTTCTATATAACCAACCTAATGATGAGAAAGTTCTTTCATAATCAGCTGAATAGGGAGTAATTGAAAATAGTTTGATTGTAGGATATCCAATTGATTTGAAGATAACATAATTAGTTGTCTACTATAATAAGAGAGTATCAGCTTCAAAACAATAAGGCAAGTTAAACACATCCTTTTTTTCTTAAAATTGTCATATATATGCTACAAGATTTGCATATTTGTATTGATCATACCCTTCTTGTTGTCATATTTTAATTGCTGTCTTTGCAATTATATAAAATTGTTGGTCTCATAATTTAATATTTAATAAAAAATATATATTATTATTATAATTTGTCAATTTATTAAAAAATTTTGAACTATAATATACTATGATATCCTGAGTAAAAAAAGTATACTAATATGTAATTCTCACAATCAAAATTTTTTCACCTTCTATTAATTACTTGTATATAATAATTTTAATTATATTAATTCGAAAGATATGTGAAGGACCAAGTTTATGATAGTCAAACTCAACATACAAAGCAGACTCTAGTATCCTCTGCATCTGTAAGAGCTAGGAATATGGCGAGCGCTTTAGGAGATTCGAATTTTAATATGCATTTATCAATATCTTCCAAATCATACAATACATACAAACTTTTAAATTCAAATATACTTTACCACCCAAATACAAATTTAATTCAAAACACAACTAATATATATTATAATCTTTTCCTTTAATAATATAACCTACCATTACTTAAAAAAAATGAAATATTAGGCTCTTTTCTTATTCATTTATCTAATTTCTCTTTCTCACAACTAATTCTTATTTCCATAAATCAAACACTTATAGAAACTCATATATATCTTAATTTAAATGAACCTATACTTAAAAACTACAAAATCCTTGAACCAACACAATTCCTTAATTATTACTATTTACCAATCTGTACAAATACATTTCAAACTCTACAAATTAATGCAGAACTATTTATACAAACTCAACAATATACTCACCAACTAACTATCTCTGAAAATATTCATTCACAAACTAACAAATTACTTCTCTCTACACCAAATTAAATAATTAACAATAATATTGAAAATGATTTTTTAGATTTAAAAATTGCTTCAATTAATATTAATGGACTCTCTCTACCTCACAAATAATTATCATTACTAGAACTGATTAACCAAAATACATATTCTATCATTGGTATTTCAGAAACACATCTTTCAACAAAAGAAAACAAGTTCTTTAACAAAGAAATTCCAACTTATACAAGTTTCTGGAGCTCTTATACCAACTCACATCAAGCTGGTGTAGGGATCTTTATACACTACTCTATATCTAAATATATTGCCAAATCACATAACTTCAAAGGTCATATCATAGGAAATGATCTATATTTCAAAAACAATTCAATATGTCTTCTACAAATCTACTTACCAACAACAGAAAAAAAGCAACTATGAAGAGAAGTACAAGAAGAAATAATTAAACTATACTTGGATACAACATATAAAATTATTATAATAGGTGATTTTAATAGTGTTCCAAACCTTCGTCTAGACAGACTTCCTGCAAAAAAATCTTCAATTCCAGAATCAAAATTATTAAATTCTTAATAAGCCAATAATTTAAAGATACTTTTTGTCTATTCTTTCCTAGGACACCTAAATATACCTTTTTTAAGGCAAACTCTCATAGTAGAATTGATCATATTTGAACTAATATTAGTGCAACACTTATTGACTATACAGATATAATATCTGTACCTCAACTTGAATCTAATCATCAATTAATATCAATAGAACTTTCACTTCAAATTAACCAATCTTCTCCAGTTAAACAAAAAACTAGGAAAAGCTTCCTATAGAAAAAATACAACAAAGAACAATTAGAAAAATATGTATATCAAACTTTTCAAAGCTTATAACAACTTCAAAACCAACTCCTTGAAACCAAATCACAAAACCAACTCAACTTACTTTAGAACAAAATACATAAGGCTCTATCTAAAGCCACTATCAAACACATTCCTTTTAAAAAAATTAAAACAATTCATGAAATTAAAGAGTGCTTAAATACTAAATTCTCCTCTCTATATTATCACTTTAAACAAATTCAATTTCTTAAAAATCATTTTAACCATGAAAACTTTTATTCACTAATTACTACATATAACAAACAATATCCAGATAACCAACTTCATAATGTCTCTCCTTCCCTCTCTACAATTAAAAATGAATTTCAACAAATTAAACATGCATTAAATATTCAACAAAAGTATCAAATACAAGAAGAAATTCAACAAAAATTGAAGAATGCAACCAAACTTTCAAAAACTCTCCAAAAATCTTCTATTGAAATATTCTTGAAAAATACAACAATATAAATATTGATAGATTAAATACTAATAACAATACTCTCCTTACAGAACAACAACAAATTCAATAAGCAATCCACTCCCACTTTACAGAATATTTCAATAAAAAACTACTTTCACAAATCCCACTAATATCTGATTATTATAAATACTATAAACCAAATCCAGAAAATGAAAAATATTTTTAAAACCTTTTATTAGAAATTTCAGAAGAGGAATAGACCTCTGTTATCAAAAATCTTCCTCTACAAAAAGCAACTAGTCTCTCAGAAACCAGCTATGAACATATTAAATATGCTGGTTCTAAAGCTCAACATATTTTAAGGCAATTCATTAGTTGTTGTCTTCAACTCCAAAAAGTTCCAACTATTTGGAAAATATCTAACATATTCTTAATTCTAAAAAAATCTACATAGAATGATATACTAAATTAAGTGCGACCTATTTCTATTTTAGAACCTCTTAAAAAATGCCTTATAAAAATATTTACTCAATGTCTTGACAAAATCATTACTCAACATAAACTCCTCTCAAATCTCAACTTTGCTGCTACCAAAAACTCTTCAACTTATATCCCAATTCAAATACTTCAAAATACTATTGAATATTACAAACTCCATAAAAAAGAAGCCTGGATTCTTTTTCAAGATATATCGAAAGTATTTGATAAAATTAATATCTCACGCCTTCAGGATACTTGCAAAAGAATTAGAATATCTAAACAAAATATAGACTTCATAACAGAATTACATACATAGCATCAAGCTCAAGTAATTACTGCTTTTGGTCTTACTTTTCCAGTTAATATCAGATCTAGTATTGAACAAGGAGAAACTTATTTCTCTCTACTATGGAAGATATATTATGATCCTATACTCTCTTTTATAAATAATAAATACCAAAAATCCTTTCTAAAAATTCAAACACTATTACTACTTGAAACAATCTTCTAACACCACTCTACACCCATAACTATTCCACCACTAGCTTATATGAATAATACTACATGGCATACAGAAAACTTGCAGACTATGCAGAATATTCTTATTGATACTAATAATTTATATAAACTAAATAATATTGAAATCAATCCTGCCAAATCAGATCTTTTACATATTCATCCCAAATTAAAAATTCAACAACATAATCAGCAATTTCAATACAATAATCAAATAATAACATCTCGCAAACAAACAGAAGTAATAAGATATCTTGGTATCTTCTTAGATAGTTATGGTTCATCACAATCTACTTATGAAGCTATCCTTAATAAAATAGAAAATTTTCTTTCCTTAACTCGATACAAAAAACTTATACCAACTCAAATTTCTAAATTATTTAATTTAATTTTACAACTATCTCTTGAATATCTTTTACAAATAGTTACTCTTTACCCTTTTCAACAGGCTAAACTCTCTTGTCTTCCTACAATACATATCAAAAAATCTCTTTCACTTGCAAAAAATACTAATAATATATTATTAACTAATCCATTATTTTTTAATCTCCTTACATTTTCAAATTTAATTCAAAAAGTCTCTGCATCAAATATAGATCGACTTTTTAATAATAACTCTCTACTAAAAGAAATCTCTCTATCAAGAATAAAAGATTGGCTATATAAAATTTGGTAACCTCAACTCACTACAGAAATTTTATTATGTCACTCTTGCAAAGTTACCAACTACAATTTAATATTTCAACTCTCACAACTTGCAAAAAACAATATTACAATAGCAAATATTAACTCTTTATTTCTACTCTCATCATCACTTTCTTTACTACAATCTAATATCTATACTATCTTATCATCAAACACAAATATTGCAACTACAAATAGTCTTAGAAACAACAAACTTCTCTTTATCGAACAAATAACAACAGCTG